CAGGCTTGTCTGACCTTTCTCATTTGGTCTCAAAGAACTCACCTGAACCCTCCCACATCTCTTCAGGATTTTGCTCTTTGCTAGCTCACAGAAAGCTAACTTGATAATTACTTTATATTAACAGGAATAAACTCATATATGATTCCACAAGTATAATGGCTACAATTTGAGATTCCAATAGAAAGCTCATTAGGCACCACTGTAGGTAATATTTTCTGAACAGATAATGCCCTTTTGTGTACACAAGTTACATTACTGTGATGGTGACCTGATCAGTCTATGCAGTGCATCTATCTGGCAGATGAGCACAACAGAACCTACTGGCCCAAGTGAGCCAACATTAGCATGAGAATTTTTTTTTAAAGAGTTCTGATGCTTTAACAAAAGAAGAGGGGATACTTTCTTCCAGGTAATGTCACTCTTAAGTAGCAGTGTAGTAATCAGATTATAATGCACAACAGGCAAAACTAAAGTTCTTGAGACCAGTTAAATTCATCAACAAATATTGTTTATGTGTGAGGCACTCTTCAAGGTGCTGACAGTAAACAAAACAGATGCTCTGAACATCTTCCCTTTTCCCTGTCTAGCCAGTCTCCATTCTTCTCCCCCTGCTCTGTGCCTCCATAAAGTGGTACCCTTGCATTCTGGCTTCTAGGTGGCTTTGGACTATTGTAAGGGTCAGAAAAGAGGGAGCTTGGGTATTGAGGCCCTGCCTCTCTTTCAGTGGAATTAGTGGAGGAAATCAGCCAAGGTGAGGTAAAGGTCATAGTTCCTGTCTAGTGACACTCTCTCCACATAGTCTGAATCCAGGCTCAGGCATCCCCTTCCGTTGTGGGCCTAAGAGGGGAATCATCTGCCCTTCTATTTCTAGTCCCAAGAGTACTTCGCTATCTCTACATCCTGCTTACACCTTTACAAATACTGCCTTTAAAAAATTCTCATCCGGCTATCTTAATATCAGTGTGCCATTTATTTACTCTTAGGTGAGATGGGGGAGACATGCAGTGAATATTATGTAGTATCTTAGAAGATACATGCCATAGAAGAATATAAGGCAGTAAAGGGAACCAGAAAGTATGCAGGAGAAAAATTTTAAATAGGTGATGAGGGAAAGCCTTACTGAGGTGACGTTTAAGCACAGGCTCAAGGGAGGTATTGAAGTAGGCCAGGTAAAGTATTATAATGGCCTGAGCTAGGCAGTGATTAGCTGGACAGTGAAGGAAAGTAGCAAATATAGCGGACAGGATTGGTGGTTAATTAGAAGTAGTGAGGGAGAGACAGTGAGTCTGGGCTTACCATCTGAATCCTGGCTTAGATAACATTCCAGATAACCTCCTAAATGCCAATTCACACATTAAGCCAGCAAGTTTACTACTTATATATGCAATCCTATGAGCTATAAACAAACTTCAAGTTCTATTCATTGTACTGTCACTTACACACACCAGAAAAGCAAAGTTAAATATTTTTCTGACAACTGTGATAGGGAATACAAGACCAGGAGTGAAAAAAGTTGCTTTTTATGTAAACATACTAAATTTGTGGGACTCCCAAGTTCATGTTTGAAGGAAGCCTTTGAGGTCATTACTAAAGACAGAGTTTGAAAGTTAAGCCTAAAGGTAAATGAGAACAGCAGTGGACCATACGACCCAGAGAGCATGTTAGGAGTAACAACAGTTAGCCCAGCCCAGACTCTTCAGGAACACTGAAATTAGGCCAACAGAAAGAAATGCCCATAGGAGACCAACTAGGTTCTGGTGGTATCATAGAAACCAAGGGAGCAAAGTCAAATGGAGAAATACAAAAAATAAGGGCTGAAATTTGTCCATTTGACTGGGCAATTAGGTGACTGCTAACCTTCTCCCAAGCCGTTTTAGCAGAGAGAAGAACAAAGCCAGGTCTTGGATGGTTGAGGGCTAATTAAGAAGTGAATGAAGACTAATGGAGATAGAGTAAACTAATTTTTCTAGGAACGTATCCAAGAAAGTGAGAAAAGCGGCAGGGTAGCAGCTAGAAAGAGAAGCTTACAGGATTAAGGCAGGGGGCAGTTAGGAGAGTCCTGAACATATGACCATACTTGAGTGAAAGAGTTGGCGAACCAAGGCTGAAAACCTAAGAGTATAAAAAATGAAAACCTTATAGATGAGACTGAAAAAATGGAAGGGGTTGGTTATGAAGAGAGACAACAAACATCGATGCTGTGGCCATGAGCAGAGGCAAATGACATGGAATGAAGGTGAAAGTCACTAACATGGAAGAGGTCTAGAAAGTCTGAAGCTTCAATAGCAATTATGATAATCACAATCACCAATGGCAGGACTTGGATAAAGAGAGACACTGTGAGATAGATGACACAGCTTTAAATAAATGTAAGAAGAAAGCTGGCGGGGTGGTGGGGGCGGATCTTAATACTTTCTACTAAGTAAAACCTGAATTCTTTACCTGTCTTCAGGCTTCACCCCATTCTGGCTTCTACTTTCCTGTTAAATAGTCTCCTCCTACTACACTTTAACAGGTTACTAGTCACTATTCTATTTTCTGCCTTCATTTAACTCCTCGATCTAGAATTTTTCTCCCACTCCCAATACACCTAGTTGAATTGTGCTCCCCTCCCCCCAAAAAAATTTAGGTCCACCTAGAACCTAAGAATGTGACCTTATTCATAAATGTAAGATGTAATTATGTTAAGGATCTCAAAATGAGATTATCCTGGATTTAGGGTGGATCTTAAATAATGACTTTGTCCTTATATCTAAAGAGAGGACACACAGAAGGGTAGGCCATGTAAAGTAAGAGTCAAAGATTGGAAAAATGACACAAGTCAAGGAACTCCAGGAGCCACCAGAAGCTGAAAGGCTCAAGGAGAATTTCTCTCCTACAGCCTTCAGAAGGTACATGGCCTGACTGACACTTTGATTTCCAAATTCTGGCCTCCAAAACTGTGAGAAAATGAATTTCTGTTGAATTTAAGCTGACAAATTAGTGGTAATTTGTTAGCACAGCCCTAGAAAACTAACACAACACCTTAACCTCCTATGAAATACTTTTTACTATTCAACTCAAGTTCTTTTTGGAAGTAAAGACTTAAATATACAAGAAGACTGATTTTCCATGAAGAAGCTCCTGTCAAGAATAGATGTCTTCCTCCTCTGAACACAGAAAATTTTAAAGGCAGGGCCCATATCTTACTAATCTTTATATCACTGCTAAAGCACATATTTGTTGCTTAATGTTTGATGAATGACTGGTGACATATGCTTACATGACTCTTATAGTTTAGAGTCATATGTCTTCCCAAAAAGATAAAATCTCCTTGAAGGTAAAGAACAAGCCATCATTTTGCATTTTCATAGCACTTAGCAATGTTTTAGCACTAAGTTAGCACCAAAACATTTAAATTAATTTAAGGTAACAACTGGAAATCAGATTTATATCTCAATTGACTAGATCTAATATATTTAACTGAAAACATTTCTTCCATCAAAAAAAAAAAAAAAACCTCCTCCCACCCCGCAAAAAAGTGCTGGTGCTTTTATGCCTTCCATCTTGACTTAGAGGCTGTCCTTAACAGTCCTCACTTCTATAGAGAAGGAAAACACCACCATTATTCCAAGTCACCCCTGAACCCAATAAAGAGAACCACAATCACTATAATCAAACTCATTTGCTCTGCCAACAAGACATTAATTAGTCACTATTTTGGCAGTGATAGCCCTCATAAAATACATTAGTGTCTTTGCTCATTACTCAAGAAGGAAAAATAGGGTAAGATTACATCATGTTTTATTTCATTAGTGAGAACAATTAAGGCTGAGAGAAAAGATCTGCAAAAGACTCATCTGATAGATTGTTGTCCAAAAATATACAAAGAACTCTTAAAACTCAACAATAAGAAAACAACCTGATTAAAAATGGGCCAAAGATATTAACAGATGCCTCACAAAGAAGATACACAGAAGGCAAATAAGCATATGAAAATAAAATACGCTCCACGTCACATATCAGCAGGTTGGAATGCAAATTAAAATACCATACACACCTATTAACATGGCCAGAATCCAGAATGCTTACACCATCGAATGCTGGAGAGAATGTGGAGCAATATGAACTCATTCATTGCTGATGGAAATGCAAAATGGCACAACCAGTTTGGAAGACAGTTGGCCATTTTTTATAAGACACTTACCATACAATCCAGCAATCATGCTCCCAAAGGAGCTGAAAACGTATGTCCACATAAAAACCTGCATGTGGATGTTCAAAGCCACTTTATTTATAATTGTCAAAAGTTGAAAACAAACAAGATATCCTCCAGTAGATGAACAGATCAGTAAACTGTGGTCCACCCAGACAACAGAATACTATTCAACATCAAAAAGAAATGAGTTAAAAAGCCATGAAAGGACACGAAGGAACCTTAAATACATACTAAGTAAAACAAGCTAATCTGTAAGGTCTACATACTGAATGATTCCAACAATATAACATTGTGGAAAAGGCAAAACTGTAGAGACAGTAAAAAAGATTAGTGGTTGCCAGGAGTTTCTAGGAGGGAAGATTGAACAGGCAGAATGCAGAGGATTTTTAGTAGCAATGAAACTACTCTGACATAATAGCGGATACGTTATGATGGTTAATTTTATGTGTAAACTTGACGGAGTTAAGGGATGCCCAGATACCTGGTAAAAAACATTATCTCTGAGTGTGTTAGCATTTATACCAGTAGACCGAGTAAAGAAGATCTGCCCTCACCAATGTGGACCAGTATCACCCAATCTGTTGAACAAAATGCAACAAAAAAGCAGAAGAGCAAATTCTTTTTTAACTGGAACACCCACCTCTCCTGCCCTCCGTCATCAGAGCTCCTGGTTTTCAAGCTGGGCCTTACTTTAGTGCCCCCTCCCACCCATCCTAGTTCTCAGGCCTTGGCCTCAGACTGGGAGTTATTCCATCAGCTCCCCTAGTTCTCAGGCTATCAGACTTAATCTGAATTATACCACCAGCTTTCATGGTTCTCCAGTTTACAGACGGCATACAGTGGCAAATCTCAGCCTTCATAATCCCTTAAGTCTCCAATTCCCATAATAAATTTCAAATCTATCTTCTATCAGTTGTTTCTCTGAAGAACCCTAACACACATGCCATTATATATCTGCCAAAACCCACAGAATATACACCAAGAGTGAACTCTAATGTAAACTATGGACTTTAGGTGATAATGATATGTCAGTGTAAATTCATCACTTGTAACAGCTACACCATGTTGGTGAGAAATGTTGATAATAAGGGAGGCTGTGCACGTGTAGGGGTATATGAGAAATCTCTACCTTCTGCTCAATTTTGCTATGAACCTAAAACTCCCCTAAAAAATAGTCTATAAAAAAAAATTCTACTAAGGCACTATGAGGTTTAAAACTAAGTGATCTTATAAACATCTCGTATGCATGATCTAATAATGCCCAGTGACCCCTGCCCTCCCTTTCCTGAACAGCCAGTTCCGGGCCAACTTGCAGTAGACATGGTCTCCCTCACTACACCCTCCCATACCATGTCCTCCCAAGTTCAGAAACCCTGATGTAGTTTTTCCTCCATTTTCTGGATCAATTTTATGTCTTTCACCACTCACGTCTAAATTAATTCAACATCATGCGATATTTCTCACATTTAAACATCTCCCAATATCTCCTTTTCTTTTCCCACTCATTATTTTACTAAGTAAAGCATCTCCTGATTTCTTCTATAAATAGAAGTACTTACTAAAGTGCTAGGATTCTGTACCTTCAAATTTAGAGGCCTAACACGGTTTGCATATTAGGTGTTAGTTACAAAGAAAAAGTGATACAACTAGATGAAGGAAAAGAATACCTAGGGTTTGGGGGCCAAATTAAACAGGGTCAACATTTGCAACCTTTAGAGTTATAACTGTCAAGATGCCTTTTTAAAAGCTACGGGCAGTAATGCTAATTAAGCCTACTCTTCCTCAATCACCACTCAATATAAAACAGCTTTTTTCACGTCATTCTTTGCCTTTTCTCATACCAGCATTGCAACATCAATGTGTATGACATCTCATCACACAATGTTTCATTTTTATTCTATTCTATTTCGGCCTCGTTGTAGGTTAAATCTGCTCTTGCAGGCTAATCTAAAAACTAACTGTAAACCTTTATTTCCAAAATTCAAACTGACATAGAAACTAAACAGAATAATAGTCCGTATCCCCAGCTTTTAACTCAAAGGTTTGAAATTCCACCTTGGTTTTCAAAACACCTGAAACCATTTAAATTACAGTCAAAGGTAGTTTTAGTGGAGTGAGTGATCAAAGCAGATGCAGAGGTGAAATTCACACTCACAACCAGTGGTGGATCCCTGACTAGTACGTTTCATTTTGCACAAGAAACTTGAAAAGTGTCATTTTTCAATTCTGTAATATAAATAGCACATTGTATCTTATTTTCCAACAGAGGGAGGCCTTTTATTAAATTTTTCATGTTTGTATTTATCTACAAGAGACTGTATCCAAGGTTTTCCCCTAAATCATGTCTAGACTGACTGTAAAGTACAGCATTGTCACACGTTCTAAATAAAGTTTTAAGCCAGTAAAAGTCAGATGCAAGTGAACAGCATGGTGACGACTGTACAGTCAAACTAAAAATCAAAAGTTTCTAAACTGAGCCTGAATAAGGCTTGGTTCTAGACAACCGCAAGGGGGTTGTGAAGGAAGAGAAAATCGAGAGAGACTCCATAGCACTGCAGTTAAACTTTCAGAAGTCAGCAAAATGAGAGTTGTATTCGGAATCCACGTGGAGGTATATTCTGTAAAAGGTTTATTGTTTCAATGTACCGTCAGAAATTGGTAAAGTAAAACTTCACCAAGTTGGAAGGGAGGAGTAGGTGGCTTTCCCGCGTTCAGGAAAAAAAAAAATCCCTTTGGGGATCAATTCTTTCGTCTGCAGAGCAGAAGTTGTGTGAAGATGGCCCAGGGAATGCACCCGCAGGCGCAAGCCGGGCGGGAGGTGGCGGGGACGGATAGGCCCCTGGGGATGGCTCGGGATCTCCCCAGCTAGGAGGGGGGAGGCGGCGGAGGCTTGGGGAAGCTGTAGCCGGCGGGGGCGGAGGAGGAGCTTAGGAGGGAGGAGAAGCAGCGCGGCGGTGGGGAGTGCGGGGCGGGGGAGAGGTAGGAAGCAGGGGAAGGCGAAGGCGCCGGGACCTGGGCACTCACTGGGGATGGGCCGCCCCCGCAGGGGGCCCCCTCGCAGCTCCCCGTCGCAGCTGTTCCTCCCGATCTCAAAGATGCCCCGGAGCAGAACCTGCTCTGCCGCGGCCTCTGGCTGCTGCCCGGCTGCCCACAACGCCGAGGGCGCTGCGGCCGCCGCCGGGGGCGCCTCTTCCTCCCCGCCGCCCTCCAGGGCGCTCACCCGGCCGCCGCGCCTCCCCCGAGGCATGGCAGAGCCACAGCCTGGGCCGGAGCCGGGGGTCTATGGAGACCTTTGGAGGAGGAAGAGGTGGAGGCCGCGGCAGCCACGGCTTTAGTTGCGACTAGCGCTGCCACAGCAACCGCACGCACCGCGGAGACCCAGGAGGGAGGCGGGGCGGGCAGGCGGGGCCGCCAGACCCAGCCCAGCACCTTAGCCCGCCAGCTTCTCCTCCTCGCCACTCACGGCAAAACGACCCCAGTGCTAGGAGAGAAGTTGTTCCCTCCGCCTAGTCTCCTCTGCTCAGTGGAATTTAGTGCATTGCATTACCCGCAGTTGAATACACCAACCCTTCTCAAACTTCGACTTGCATAGTCGCCTCCAGGATATCTGTTAAAATGCATTGTTTAAAATGCAGATTCCTATTGAATAGGTCTGGGATGAAGCCCAAAGTACTGTATTTCTAAGAAGCTCCCAGGCGATGCCGACGCTGTTGGTCCGCGGGACACACTTTAAGTCACAAGCCTCTGTTTTCGCACGTCCTTGAAGTGGGCTCTCCTGGAAAGCAGTCGTGCTTTAAAACCACGCTTTCGTGCCCTCAATAATTAGCTAATCTTTATGCAGCTGGTATAAAATGAAAGTGCGCTCTTCCCAAAGCCCTGAGAGGAAGTCAAAGATAAGTCTCTGGTTTGCATAGACAAATTCTCACCTGACAAATTTGGCATTAAAGGAAGGTGTCTCCATGCCCCCAAGGTACCTCCTCTGCAGTCTTTTCTTTGCCTGGATCTGGCACTCCCTAGAGAGAGATTACAAGCAGCACGGCTTGGTCTCCAGAAGACTAAAGCTGTAGTTGTACCTAGAAATGGAGAGAGCCCAGTGAGGGGAATCATCCTTCACTTTCTCCTGAAAGCTGAGATTCATGATATCAGCTGGTTGCTAATTTGGAAAACACGGCGAGTCTGGAGGCCATTGGTTCTCAAACCTGGCAGCACATCAGAGTTACCTGGGCAGATTTTCAAAATCCAGATTCCCATGCTACACTCAAGATAATTAAATTAGAATCTCTGGGGATGGGACCCAGACTTTAGGACTTTTAAAGATCCCCAGGTGATTCCGAGGTTCAGCCAGGGCTGAGAAAAGCTGCTGTAGGCCGTGTAATAACAGGGAACTGACAATTTATGGTGGCGAAACAGCCAAGGAGAACATGGATTCTACAGAAGAGAAGCAGAGTGGAGAGTACATCAGCAGGCTTTGCATAAAGTCAGAATAATTGTAACAAGTCAGAATAATTGAGAAAAAGTTGTGAGTGAAGGAGTTAAAGAGGAAATTAATTTAATAGAATTGCGAATCTAGTTCCAGTGTGCTGATGCCTAACCAATGACATCAATTAGGCAGCCACTTCTCATTCTCTCATCCCTGGTCACAATGCAAAGTCAGACAGAAGAGCTTACAGTAGCAGGGATATCTCAAGGTTCTCTGCTCAAACTTAGATTTCAAAAAACCAGGGAGGGGGACTGTTGGCCTAGCCAAATCCCTTTCAGACATAAAGCACCTGCGTGCCAGTTAGCTAGGACTCTTACTGTTTAATGCTCTGAAAACAAATACCCAAGCTCTCAGGCAAAGCACGGAAGAGCCTTAGTTTGATCTGATTGCAGCGAGCTGTTTCTTGGAGCAGAAGTGCAGCTGCTGCTAAACTCCATGCAGATTTCAGGTGGCTCGGCTCAGCAGTCATTCATGGGGAAGGCTGGTGCCCTCTGCAGAATGAGTTGCAGTTCTGGAGTCAGCATCTTGTATTCACAGCTGCCGGGCAATCAACACAATTAGAGCTCACTGGCATTTTGAAAGTTCACTGAGAGTCCTGACAAATAGGTCAAGGCAGTGGCTACTTCTTAGGACCTTTGCAAGGATCGAGTTGCCATTTTTCAAGCTTCAGTCAAGCCAGTCAAAAACATTGGCTTTGCATTTCTTGAGAATGAAAGTAATGGCTGTGTGCCATTCTTTTCCTTTGATGAGTTCTCTTCTTCTAGGGTCTTAAAGGTTACAGGACTCCAGTGCTCTGTCCTCAGGATCTATCTGCACAGGCGTCAGTGCCATGGCTTTATATACTAACCAGGGCACCTCACATAATGTTGCTAGTCTCAACCACTCCTCCGAACTTCAGACACTATGTCCAACTACCTATCTGACATCTCTACTTGGCTGTCTAATAACCATCTGAAATGCAACATATCCAAAACCAAATGCATGATTTTCCATCTCAAACCTATTCCTCCCAGAATGTTCCAAATCTCATCAAATAGTGTCGAAATCCTTGACATCATCCTAGTCTCTTCTTTTTGTCTTATATCTCATGTCCAATTCATCAGCAAATCCTGTCAGTTCTACCTGCAACATAAACTCCTTTCAGCTTGTTCTCATCTTGGTCTGCGCCCCAAAACTCCTCATCTGGACAACTTCTATAGCGTCCCAGCCTATCTCTTTGCTTTCCCCTTCCGCTGCACTGCCTCCTCCAGCCCAGAGTCTATTTTCCACCTATCAGTCACATTGTTCCTTTTAAAAGCAACAAAATCAAATCACTCCCTGTTCACATCCTTCCTGTGACCTTCCATCACTCTTGAAATAAAATAAAAATGCATAGCAAGGCTACAAAGCCCTACATAATCTGGTCCCTAGCTACCTCTCCAAAGTCTCCTTGCTTACTCACACAAGCCTTCTTACTAGTCCTCAAACACAGTGAGACTAGTCCCTTCTCGGAGCATTTTCCTTGTTGTTCCCTCCGGATGGAATGCTTTCCAGCCAGCCAACCAGCTTCCCCCTTCACTTCATTCATTTTTATGATTAAAGGTCACCTCCTCTAAGAGTCCATTACTGAGAATCCTCCATCGTTCACCAGCCTTTAAGCCTGTGTATTTGTTTCCCATTGCTACTACAAACTTAGTGACCTAAAACAACACAATGTATCATCTTATACTGCTGGAGGTCAGAAATCCAAAGGTTTCACTCAACTAAAATAGAAGGTGCCTACATTCCATCTGGAGGCTCTAGGGGAGAATTCAGTTCTTTGCCTTTCAAGCTTCTAGAAGTCGCCTGTATTTCTTGGCTCAAGGCCCCTTCTTCCATCTTCAAAGCCAGCAGCATAGCATCTTCTCTCTGCTTCCATTTTTACATCTTCTGTCTCTAACATTCTTTTCTCTCTCTTATAAGAGCCCTGGATTACATTGGGCCTGCTTAGATAATCTCTAATTATATCTGCAAACTCCCTTTTGCTATGTAAGGTAATATATTCGCAGGTTCTGGGAATTAGGACATAGACATTAATCACTCTACTATATCCTGCTTTATTTTTCTCTACATCCCTTATTATTACCTCTTATTATATATTTACATTTTTGTTTATTGCCTAGGTTCCCCATTGAATGAGTTAATGCACTTAGTAATAGTGCTGATATATAAGAAACAATAAATATTAACTGTTATTGTTGTTGAAATAAAAGCTCTTTGATAGCAGGGAATTTATCTTGTTCTCCATTGACTCTCAGTATCCAGTACCTTGCATAGTACATAGTAAGTGCCCAAAAAATGTCTGAAAGACTGAATGAACTCCTTCAACGTTTATCTGTAACAATGATGCCAGAGCAGCTCAATAGTTTTTTCCCCCCAGTTGCTGAGAATCTGTTGTTTCATAAGAGATTCATATATATAATACAATGATGCATAAAAATCTCTTTCCAAAAATTTTCAGGAAACTTCCTGACCATTGCTTTCCCTGTCTAAAGTTTGAGTATGTTTTAAGAGCATTAAATAATACCTTAAATAATACCTGTTCTTGCTTAATAGTTACATTGTTGCCTCCTATTTAGAAGGCATTTGGGTAGGTCTAGAAACACAGTCTCTATCCCTGTTTTTTTTTGGAAGCCTACGTCTGAACAGGAGATCTTGAAAGACTCTTGGCTATTGTTACATTCTTTTCAGGAGGCCATTAAATATCTGGGCAAATCTCAGGAATGTAGGTCTGATGCTATAGCCTCCTTAATTTGGGGCCACCTTCTCATTCTCAGTACCATACATGGAAGCTGGTGAAATCATAGCCAAGAGATACATTCACACCTACTGCATCAAGGATAGGGAACGAAAAAGTCTAATGCCTCAGCTTTGGCCAGTGGATAATCCTATGTTATTCCCTTTGATGTCTCAAAGTCTCTGCTGGCTTCAAAGTTTGGAGTTTGCACAATAAGTGTACATATATTATCAAGTTACCATCAACACAGTTCTTTTTCAAACTCTAGTTTACTTTACAAAGTATTTTTTGTTGAGATCTGCTACAGGTAGGATAAAATCCAAACTCCAACCATGACTTTTATGTGACCCCCATGTTATCCGACTCCTGCCACCTGCTCAAACCCATCTTCTATCATTTTTTTTTCCATTCTTACTATACTTATGTCCAACCACACTGGCCTTTTTATTCCTCAAATAAACAAAGTTAATTTGTATTCAGGGCCTCTGCTGTTGTTGTTTACTTTGCCTAGAACAATTTTTTACCATGGTGTGGCTTTGCATGGTACCCAGATCAACTTCATGTCACTTTCCTAGAGAGTCTTTCCTGGACAGTCAATCGAAAGTTGCTCCTACTCAATGATATTTTCTTCATTAACTTCTCGTTATCTAAAAGTCTGCAGCTGATTTGTTTGTGTACTTATTTCTTATCTGTCTCCCTTCTCCTATCAGATGGGTATCACAACAAGAGCAGTGACCAAGTCTGTTTGTTTATGGCTCTATGTACTGTGCCTAAAACAGCGCTTTTAGCAAAATAGATGCTCAATAAATTTGTTCGTTGAATGCATGACTGAATTAATAACTTTTTAAATTGAGTTCTATAGTACAAAATCTTAAATTAAGTATAACCAAATATACGGAGACCATTTAAGTAAAAAAATATATTCTCATTTTCTATAACTCACACTATTACAACTGTGAAAAAAGGCATTATATAGAGAAGGCAATGTCCCTTCTCACTATTGCAAACATCC